AGAGTCAATTCAACAAACGCACTATCTAGCCATGGATAAGGCACTCCATAAAATCCACACAGGAGTGAGATATTTGTACTACCCTCAAAAAATTCATTACCATTTACCTGGAAGAGACAGATATATGCACAATTAGTGATGGCAAAGATAGGATCATTATCACCATTATTTAGTGAGCACTTTTGTTATATCCTAGGTGCTGTGCTAAGTATTTGCTAAGTATCATTTTAAAATCTTATTGCCAATTATTATCTTCATTTTATAGATGCAAAAGCAAAGGGAAAGGGACTTTTTCAGTATAACCGAAGAGGAATTTTTCATTCAAATGGCTAACCTTATAATCAGCTCTTTGTTCTGCTTCTGCAGATATGCTTGCCACATAGGCCGAAGGGCAGGGTGACCTCCAGAGTAACTAAAGACTCATCCTCCCCTTTTGCTTGTTTTGCCTAGATAACAGATGTATTGCCTAAGTTCTTGTTTGAAAATCTCATGCCCTGTAACTGCCTGTAGCCTATAGCAACTCCTTCACCCTTACCCCCTTCCTCGCCCCCTCCCCCGTGCTCTGTAACCCATAGCAACTTCCGCTCCCCATAGCCCATAGCCACTATCATGCTCTGTAACCGCCTGAGGAAAATTAACCAATCAGCCCATGCCAAATGTAAAACTCTAACTGTGCAGATAAGCCTTATAAAAGTAAGTTTACCCCTGAGCTTGGGGCCCAGATCTTCAGAGAGCTAGCTCTTCTGGGACCACTGGTGTAATAAACCTGAGTTTTCCAACTCTCTGAGTGCTGCTTGGTTTCTTGCTGGTCTGATTATTCTGCAACATAACAACATTAGTAACGGGGGAAACCTTATTCAATCCAAAATGAGCTTTACGGCAAAAGAGCTCCAGCGCCATGTGGTAGCGCTGCCTTGCCCGAGAAGAGACTAGAGATTGTAAAAAAGGTAGAGATTGATTTCCAAGCACATAAAACAAAATCGTAATATAAGAATTATTCTCAACCAAAAATAGGTGATCTTGATGTTATCTATTAGTCTCCTACACTTTACTGGGCTAAAAAATTCACTAAACGTGTACATTGGACTTGGTATTCTGAAATGTTAGAAGCATGGACTATGTAGATTTGATTCTAATGTAGGAGTCTATTGTGGTCCTGGACACCTATTACTCCCAGCCTCAAGGGAAGTCCCTGTACACTGGAGAGTCACTGAGGCAGAAAACAAAGTTCCATGGGAGGTCCAAGGTGGAAAGGTAGAGACAAGAGGGAGATGGTCTTGACCTATCCAAATAGCTACTTGCCATTTTTCAAGAGCACTTTGACACCTTAAAAGCTATGATAAGGTTCAAATTTCCCTTCTACCATCCCTTGATGCGGGGTTGCAAAAATAGCTGCCTTCGACCCCTTACAGGCCTGCATAACTTTTTACAAATGGTCAATTATATTACCATAAAGAAGGCTTGCCATTTTTAATCTTACTCTCTACTTCTAATTTATACCTGGCCCACTTTGAAGTTTAAGCCCAGTCTCTGTAACATTTGAGTTTATAAACTCTGTTTTATAAAGTCTCTCCAAGTAAAATTTAAACATGAATAAAATGGTCTTCCCAATACATTGGTCAAGCCATAAATGATTTTCTATCTCTGTTAATCAAGAATCAAATGGAAGAGTTTTATCAAAACAAAACAAAACAAAACAAAAAACCACATAGATCTGGAGTCAATACACACCTGAAGGTTAAGCTCATTCTACCTCGTAAAATGCAGCCACTAAAGCACTTTGGCCTTATTTGATCATATTTCGTGCCAGATGGCTTTTAGGAGTGGAAAGAGAGCCGAGAGCTATTCTCAATGAATGCAGACTGAGAGGCCAGTAGTGAAATACACACAAACAAGTTAACTATCATCATTTCTAAGAAACACAATTGAATGTACTGGTGGAGGTGAATGAATAAGTGAATGGAGTGACAGCAAACAGTTTACATCCAAACTATAGAAGCTGCCCAACACTCCACTTAATACTGGCTAGGAAATGAGTGATGAGTCTGCACCATAATGCAAAGCACTTAAAACAGGAATGCACATCTTTTCCTAAACCTATAACTATACCACCTTTTCTATAGAAAGAAGTTATTTTTCCTTAAAGACATTGTATTAGAGTTAGGGTGTTTCTAACTGACTTATGGACCATTCAACTTAATGAAAACTAAAGCTTCTCAAAATGTATATACATTTGCACTAATGGCGCTTGATATTTTAAGACGAAAAAAAGGTCTTTCATTAAGCCTATCCATCACCATTCCAACATGCCAAGCCTGCTTTGTCCATGAACAATTGAGAGCAGATGCATCATTGAGTACATTAAAAGGCAAAGAAATGTAGAAACCAAGGGTTCACACTTCAGTTTTAATGTTGAGCAGCATTCATTGCATGAGTTTGCAATAATGCAAATCATGCTTGATGGATTATTTTCAAATTAAAACTGGAACCAGCATCACCGCATGCTATTTTTTCATTTGCAGTGTTATGATGTAGAATTCATTTAGTGTTTAATGATTTCCAATAATGCAAAATAAAACAAAACAAAAAATCTATTACTTAAAAAAAAAAACAAGATTTGTTTCTATTCTAAATTTAACTTGTAAGAGAAAAAAACCCCACAAATTGACTCAATTTACAGTACTATGTTCTATTTTGGCCTCCATACTTTGAAAAGGAAAGAAAAAAACTGAATGAGAGTGCAAAAGGAGAACAAAATACACTGTGTTATATACAGCTGAAGGATTCAGGAATATTTAAGATAATATATAGGCAAAATTATCCCAATGTCTCCCTGGGCTTAACCTATAGCACCCAGTACTTCTGCCTCACTACTCATCATTCTCATTTGTTACTGCTTTTTAATTGTTTATCATTTCTATCAGACTACAAGCTCCAGAAGGTCAAGAATCTTGTCTGTCTTGCTTAACTTTGTATCAACAACACTTATGAGGGTGTCTGACAACGAGCAGGAACTTTATATTGTTTTATTAATGACTCATTAATTAAAGAAGTGACAGAGACTGTGTGTAGTCCAACAGGCAGAATTAACTGCAATGTTGATTTTGGCTCAATAAGAGGTGGAATACTTTCTAATAGTCAGAACCATTTAAAGTTGGACATGGCTACTGACATGTTTAAGTAGAGGCGATACCACAAATAAGTATGGGTGCAGTAAATGAGAATCAAATTCTTGGGTCCTGAATTATACTTAATTATCTTTAAGAAGTTTGCTAACTCTGAGGCTTTATGATTATAAAATAAACTCTTCCCAAATTTAGGTCATAGTTTAAACTAATCATCGGGATTCATTTCCGTGATTGGAATTACATAGACAACTTATCAAGCCAAAGGTTCAACTCTCACATACCTTCTTCTTGGCTATACATTCATCTTACTTCAGCTGAATCAAAGGTAATATGGTATCTGCTTTACTATAAACTATTTTACTTTGCTACTTACTATGCTACTTACTACTTAAAATGTCTGAGCCCAAGGGTTGACTTACTAGATCCAAATGGTATTCTTTACAAAAGAAGGCTTTAACTTTTTGGCCACAGGTTGGAACAAAGTATACCTAAAGGAATTAATAAAGTTCATTTACCCTCATACTACTGTATTTAATCATAGAAAATGATCTCTATACTTCGTGAAACCAGTGCTTTCTCTTAATTATAGGAGTGGTAAAACTACTTACCACAAAAGAATAATAAATCTTGAATCCAGGTTTAGCCACAAAGTAGTCATCAGACTTGAATGTTATTTTAATTTGGTTTGTTCTTGATGTTATCCTTGGAGGAACTTCCTTGTGTCCGCACCATCGTCCTCTAATAATGGTACTAGTTTCAGATATATCTTCAACTTCCACAAAATCATACCTGGGATCAATTTGACATAAATAAACAAATTTTGATTAAAGTAGACTGAAATTCATGCTTTCACTGAGAAATTAAAACTAATATACTTGATTTCTTAAGACCTACCAGATGAAATAAAAATTATAACCTACGGACATTTTAAACTGAAAGCTAGTCTTTGTATTAGGTTTTCCAAATTCAAACAATCTATTCTGAGAGAATCCTTATATACATTTAGCCATGTCTGTTCCCAAATCATCAATAATCAAAATAGGCTATTTTGTGAGCATCTGGCTTATAAGATTTTCCTGAAAAAACTAATATTATAATCTATCATCAGATTTTAGAAGATGTAGCTCTAATTATATGTCTAAATATTTACTATATAAAATTTTTCAAACAAATTCTCACTTTGAACTAATTTACCATATTCAGTACATTCTTAAAAATGGAAATAATCTGTATCTATACAGCATATAGAATCAGCATTTTCATTACATAAAATAAATGGTAAAATAAAATAAATTATTAACTTCTCTTTTTGGAAACTGTCTTTGGAGGGATAATATCATAAAATATGGCTTTTCTCATAATATAAAGCATAAGTCTTTGGGGGGAGGGGCAGGGATGTTGCTAACCAATACTGGAAATATCTGTGCTGGTTAAACCAGGGTGTGAATGAGCCACAGACCATAAGTTCACCTTTGGCATTGGTCAGAGAAACAGAAAATGTCTGGATTGAAGAGGACAGGAAAAACCTCTTTAGATATTCCACATAACCATTTGATCCTCAAGGACCCTCTATATCATCCCATCTTTCCATCACATAGTAGGACATCTTCAGTGACAGAATTGACATCTTCTAAGAATCATTTATTCTATTTTCAGACATCTAAGGTCTTAAGACATTCTACTTGATGAGCTGAACTATCTGCCTTTCAGTTCTGGGCATCAGTGTCTCACTCCTCCACTCTACCTCTCCCCAAATGACTTTGGGTACTAAAATCACAGCGCAAAGGATGAAAAGTGGCAGCACTTTCATATCCATTTTTTATTTTTCTGTCACAATTGCCAAAAGTAATCAGCATGAGAAACATTATGTCCGAGTATGAAGAAAATCCAACATGGCTTTACTGGTCCTACCCAAGTACCTCAGAGCTCTTACTGGATTGGGCAGGGTCACCTAAGGAGTAGGTGAACATAATAATATTGTGAATAAATTTTGTTGACAGTGATTTGTGAGACCCTTATGTCCTTTGCCTCGGTTTCCTTATGAGCAGAATAAGAAGATTTATACAATTTTACCAGTTGGATATGTCTCCAGTGTTGTGTAAATTAAGTACTTAACGTTTAGATGGTGCTTGGAAGGTGAAAAGCACTAACAAAGAATCATTACTCAAGCAATAAAATGTTATGATGTAAACATTAAGGAGGTTTTGGAACGGGATGGCAGGAAATTGATTGCATTTCATACAATATGTGTAAATTATATTTACTGTACAAAACAGGAGTGTACTTGAAACTTGGTTAATAACACAACCGTCATTTTTGCTTTTTAAAAACACATCAGTGTAATTTTCACTTTGGATCTGATGTCAAGACAGCACCATTGTGTTTCCCAGGGAGGGTTCTGAGGCAATTTTCTGATCTGTATCTTTCCCTTATTTTCCCTTTTCCACCTCTTACTCCTCCACCTCCCTCCATAAATTTTGAAAAGCAACTCAATTCGCTGTAAGGTCGGGGAAAAAAAAAAACAAAAACAAAAACAGAAACTCATCCTAACTTCCTTTTCTATTTTCAAGGCCAGGTTGCTGAAAGGACTCACTCAACTACCAGAATCGAAACTGCTCAGTAGTGGAGACTCTGCTTCACTTTCATGTCATCGACTTTAACAATCTTTTAATGGCGTTGTGTTTTGTTTCCTTCACAGTCTCTATCTCTTTTTTTTTCCCCTCTGCACAGACAATTAGTTCTCCCTTTCAAGGTTGAAAAGACACAAGATCTGCTCTAGTTTAATCTCTTTGTAAATATTGACTGGCTCTTCCTGCATGTATTTGTCTGTTTTCTGGCATATATTACCCTCCATGGTCCTAGAAAATAATGTCATTGCTATTATTCTTGAAAAAATAGCAATGTAATAAAAGCTGTCAGCATAATAAACATGCAACAAAAGGACAGCCAAATTTGAGGCATCTTCTTTTTTTTTTATTCAAAGGAAAATAAACCTGCTGAAAGGACTTACCAGTTCAGTAGTTCCTTGGCAATGCAGAACAAGTGTGTGTAGTTAAGCACAGAAAGGAAAAAAAAATCCTCCCCAAGTCTTATACATGCTAATTAAGTGAGTAAGATGCTGTGAGCAGACAATCAAAGAACAACAGCCAGAGCTTTTTCTGATAAATATGCTAAAAAGGGAGATTATCAGGCATGGAGTCCATCTAATGCTGATTCAGAAACTATTTGAAACAAACCTGAGGAACAAAGAGACCCTGGGGTTGCCTTCTCTTCCTTCTTACACAAACCTGAGGCCTTAATATTCTGATTTCAGGGTAAGGCACTGAAATGGTTGGTCCTCGCCGTCATCCGCTCCCAGTGCTGGGGGAAGCCATTACTGTGCATAAGTCACAATAGCTGAAGTCAGTTCCTGGAGCCCTGCTGCAGGCTGTTCACTCGTTAAGCCCCTGGCAGGCTTGGACCAGAGTCACGAGACTTTGCAGGTGACTTGGGGTTACTGGATGCATCCATATGTTCACAAGGGCTATTCTAGGGCTGGCCAAGATGAAAGCCTCCAGATTCCATCCTTCTCTGAGGGTCATGCAGCCCGGCTATGACAGGTGTGAGAGTGAGCTTCGGTGAGTCAGCCGGGTTACTAGGCCCTCGGCAGCAGCCCTCTATGCTCCAATTTATTCTGTTAGGACCGGCATAAAGGTTTTTTGAAAAAGAAGTGGAGCATTTTGAGTAGGTGCAAAGGGCTCAAAAGGAAAGTCTGATGTGATATTTTAAATCTATCTCTTTTTTTCAACTTAAAATAGTACTCTAAAATGAATTTTTTTCTCCACTTACCTACAGATATCATTTTCTGCTTCTTCTAATCCAAACTGGTTGTCAAAGGCTAGCTGTATCCTTGTTTTCTCCTGGGAATGAAGCCGCCACGTCAGAAGCAGGTTCCTAGGGTAGCTGTTTGGGAAACGGGGACTCTGCACATGGCCATTTCCTGTCACCTGGATGGTTTCGTCTCTTCGGTACAAGTCTGTGAGGTGATTGCTCTCTGTTAGTAGTCACAACTTGTAGAAATTAGTATGTTGCTCCAATTACAGGAAAGTAAAAAAAGAACAGTTTAAAAACACATCACATTTAACAGCATTTCTTGATTTTGTTTAAAAACAGGACCAAATGGTAGCCTTCTGGTTAAACGAAGAACATATATATTTCTTCTATTATCCCCCAGCTCCCCAAATTCATCACAAATTTAGACTTGATGGCTAATACTTTGTATTTGGAGGCTCTCTTAACATTAATTTTGATAAGTTAAAATTAACAATTATCTCAGAACTCGGGTTCATTTAAATTAGAATTAAAATAAGAAAATAATTTCAAATAGTTCATCCTTCCTTTTTTCATGTAATAAATAATTTTTTTTTACACTGACAATGAAACAGTATATCTTCAGTGATTAGCATAGGAGGCAGGTATTCAGTAAATATTGCTGAATGAATGAACAAATGAGTGAAAAACAAATTAAAATAATCTAATGGTGTTTGATGACCATATATTTTATATTCGGGTGACATTTTTCAGTGGTTTCCCCATCATAAAAATAGTAATCTTTGCCTTAGTTTTTGGTGACTTAAAATAGATCTAATTCAAATTCTATTTTCTGTGTGTTATAAAATAAGGAATTTGTCTGGTCTTTGTCCTGGGTTCCTGAGAGGAAACTTCTATTCTCTTAGAATTTCCTAAGTAATAGAAGTGCTTTTGTTATTCATGGTAGGCCCCTGGGACCACACCTGAGTTTATGCTAATGAGGTGATTTACTGTGGGCCTCAAAGTAGTTTCAGGATGGGTGCTGGCCAGGACAGAAAGACCAATATGTGATTAGAGGGTTAGGGCTCTGAGCCTGATGTCAGCCAGACTTCCGAACATCCCTGGAGGTAAGGAAGGGATATTGGAGATTGAGTCCAATCATATTGTTGGTGATTCAATCAAATCTGCCTGCAGAATGAACCCCAACAAAAACTCTGGTCACTGGGGCTTGGGTATGCTTCCTAGTTGCTGGTACACATAGATGTGCTGGGAGCGTGACCTGTCCATAAGAAATTAAAACTTCATGCTTGGGGCCCTCCCAAACCTTGCTTGCTCTGTGTATTTCTTTACTTGGCTGGTCTTGATTTGTACCCTTTATATAAAGTAAAACTGTAATTGTAACTATAGTGCTTTCTTAAGTTCTGTGAGTTGTTATAGCAAATTCACTAACCTGAAGGGTTTATGGGGAACCCTGACTTTTTAGCCAGTTAGTCAGAGAGCAGGCAGCTTAGGGATCCCCAAACTTGTAGCTGGTCTCTGAAGTGTAGTTTTGTAGGGACTGTGCCCTAAAACTTGTAAAATCTCACCTAGCTCTGGTTCGTTTATATCAGAATTATATTGTACAGTGGATCCATTTTTTATTTCTCCCAGTATTCAAAGTTCTCTGCACTTTAGATTTGGGCTTTTTAGGCCCCTCCATAAGCAAACTTCCAGCCACAGTCTATTTGTGTTCTTCCTCAGAGAGTTTACTTTGGGGCCTATAATTCAGTGAGCCTGGTCAGGGAGGCCTAAATTGCTGGTGGAAACCACTAAAAGGTTGGGCTGCTGAGGGTGGCTCTCAAAGTTTCCAAAATAAAAGGAGGGTGAATAAGGAATCAGCTTGTGAAATGTAAAATCTCCTCTCCCTTTACAAATGTCTTTTCACATGGGAATTTCAACTATTTTTTTTACTCATTCTGTGTTTAACGCGTGGTGCTTGTCCAGTCAGTTAAACTTTGTGTGGGAGAGAGAGCCCTAGGAAGAGCAAGGGTGGCTGGAGGATGTCCACACTCCCTGCCTGCAAATTAGAGCACTGGTTCTATAGTTATATCACCACTTCCAGGGAGCTCAGTTAAAGGCAGCCTCCTAGGTGTCAAAAATAGTTTTGCCAGTTGACCTTTTTCTCTTCCCTTGACCTCATGCTGAAAATATAGCCATGAAAATTACTTGTCTGCTCATTTTGTCATAAGAGGCTTTTAGTAAATGAGTAAAGGCTGTTAAGGAGACAAATCTGAGCAATGAACCAGTCAGTCAACAATTACTCAATAAGCACGGACTCTAAATAATGCATTGAAGTATTTTTAACACGTGTTATCATTTGAGTATTACTTTCACAATTTTGCCATATTTTCTTATCTCGAGTACTACTAATTACTTAATTTTTTCCTAAATATTTTTAATCAAAAGTAAATCTATTCTAAAACTTTATATCAATGCTGTAAATAGCAACTAGATTCCATTTGCTATGAATAGAAGGTAATCATAAATCTAAATATATAACTATTAAATTTTAAAATATTCATCTCAGGTGTTCAGATTTCTCATCTGTAAAATAAGAGGATTGGTAGCACATTTTCTCTTTGGTCTCTTTTTCTGGGGTATTCAGTGGTTCTATTTTATTATTATTTTTATTTTATATTTTTATTGTTTCAGATGCTATGTTAGATTCAGACATAATTTAAGAATGTTTAAAGAACTGTTCCTGTCTTCGTAGACCTGAAAAACAAAACTAATGCATACCACACAAGTGTAAATGATACACAAAGAAATATTAAGTGCTGAGTGTGAATGGTTGATCAGAGGCAGGGAGAGCTACCGGGCGAGCATGGTGAATACAAGGCGTGTATATGCTGTCATAGTGAGAGGACTGTCCTGAGAAGAGTCCAAGTGGGCCCAAGTGGGACATATGGCTTTAAAACTATGGAAATATTTGGAAGCCAGGCAAAAGTACCTGCACTTGACACAGGTAGAAACAGGAGAGCTCTAGAAAGGATAAAAGGCTTGTTGGTGATATGAAGGATGAACTGCAGGGAGAGCACCTGCAGCGGGGATGTCTCCTAGGAGATCAGTAGCCCTCTTATCTGCACGGAATACATTCCAAGATCCCCAGTAGAAGCCTGAAATAGTAGTTAGTACTGAACTCTATACACACTATGTTTTTTCCTATACATACATACCTATGATAACATTTAATTTATAAATTAGGCACAGTAAGAGATTAACAATAATAGTTAATAATAAAATAAAATAATTATAACAATATATTGTAATAAAAGTTATGTGAATGTGGTCACTGGTTTCAGGGGATGCCTTGCTGAAGTCTTCATATGTACACAATGCTTTTTGTTGTAACACGTAGCCATCAATCGTAACATGTTTTCTAGTCATGTCTTCCACCTACAAATTTAATGCCTTTCCCATCTTAACTAACCACTTATCATGCCCTGTCACCATAACTTTTGTGGTCTGAGGTACAACAGCAAAACTAGCACAGATTTCTTTTTTGTTCTTCACAATTTCACGGATAGAAGAGTCGTTCTTACCGTTGATCTTAGCAACCTCAGTATGCAACTTTTTTTTCTTTACCTATTAAGTAGAGAATTTTCAGCTTTTCACTTAAAGGAAGCACTTTAAGTCTTTTCTTTGTTATATGCAAAGTGACAGTGCTCCTACTCTTGCACTTTGGGGCCACTATTTGGTAAGATAGGATTACTTGAACATAAGCACTGTGTTACTGCCACAGTCAATCTGAAAACCAAAATAGCCACTAAGTGACTGACGGGCGGGAAGTGTCTAGAGCACGGAGATTAAATGAGACTCGCGAGATTTCATCACATTACTCAAAGTGGTGTGAAATTTAAAACTTATTGTTTATTTCTAGAATTTTCCATTTAATATTTTTGGACAACTGAAGCTGCAGAAAACAAAACCTCAGATGAGCGGGGACTATGTAGTTGCTAGAGAACAAGGTTCTGACCTAGAAGGGCAGGTAGCACTAAGTCCATATAAGGGGGAAAAAAAATCCAAAAGAACTTGTAGTTAAGAAAGGAATGAAAGGGATGAGTCAGAGCTAGAAACAACATGTTAATCCAAAGGCCTGGGCCCCATGCGATAACATTGACACAGAGGCATGGGGAAAGTAAAAGTTTTTAAATAATTAAGATTGGTTTTGAAGGAGCAATGAGAAAATCAAGTGGAGGCTTTAGCAGGCTTTGAGGGATATAAGGCTAGACCTGAACTGGGAGACTAGAAGAGATAAGGACTCAGTTCAGAGAGGGAATAGGTAGACTTGGGAAGCACTGAACCCTCAGAGGAACTATTTTGAGAAGGGAGGCTAAGGCGTTGTGGGTGCTGGCAGACATGCCCAGGAGGGACAGGTGGCAAAAGGCTTGCTGGGAAAATCAGAGAAGTGATGTCTGAAAGGGAACCAGGGAACCCACAGTAGTGCCATGTCTATGTCAAGCTGCCCAGGAAAGGGGCCATCTCAAGGCCAGTGAGGCCAGTGATGTCAAACGCAGAAGACCAAGGGACAACACAAAGAGAAAAGACCATAGAACTTATAAATAACAAAGTCACTGCCATCTTTTATATGTGTAGAGATCTTGTAGAGATTTCTGTAAGAAAGGGACTTCTATTTTTCTAGATCATCATTAAAGACTAGATTTTCTTAAAAGTACTAACTCTGCTTATAAATAAAACGCCAGTTATATTTTTAAGAAAGCTGTAGTGAGGGTGGGCAAGAGGGGCTTTCTTACTTTGATTAAGACAAAATTTGTTTCCGGTTTTATAAAGTTACCACAGACCTATGTCACTCTATACTGAATTGGAGGCCGAAAAGAAAAAAAGTAAGTTTTCTGATTTATTTTCCCTAAAAAACAAAATACTACCAAAATCTACATATATACAAGCTAAATATGAATAACGACAGACACTTTTACACTGCTTACTTGGTGCAAGGCACTGTTCTAAGCACTCTGCATTTCATTTACAGAATCTAAACTCATTAAATATAACCTTATGTGTGTGTGACCATACTTATAAAAACTCACTGAGATAGATATCATTATCATCATTTGACAGATGAAGATTATGAGGCACAGAGACGTCAAGTAGCTTACTCAAGGTCACAGTTAGTAAACAGTGGAGTCAGAATACAAACCCAGGCAATCTGGTCCCAGAGCTGATGCTCTTGAGTACTATTCTATA